GCAAAATAATTCACAAAAGCTGGTCTGCAAGGAAAGAAAGTCAGATAAGGCATAAACCACAATATATATGCTCAGTTTCTTTTAAAATGCGAGTTTCTCTATTGCTGATTTTACTTCAATTATTGCTCACTTACAAATCTAGAGGCATAAGAGGACCAAAAGGTAAAGCCTAATCTACCCTGCTGACTTCAGTACGAGCCTGCAAAGGCACTTTTTTTCCAGTCAAAGGCAGCCATTTGGTGTTCTAGTACAACCAATTTATAAAAAAAGCTACGCTCTCAAGACAATGTGATACACAAACTTTACTTCCAGCTGGAAAAAAGACCCTCATACTCACCTATTCTACACTGTCTCCCAGAGCTCCAAATCATTCTGCTTGAAATGACATGAGGTGAATCATAGAGCAGAAGGGACAGCCAAGCTTGGCAATATGCCTTTCCTCTGCCTGACCTGGGCTGCTCAGACATCCAGTATTCTGCAATTCCCAACCTGTCCCCCAGTACCATTATGAAACCACAAACTGTATCTGAAGAGGTCTGAAGAAAGTAGGACAAAGTGTGTCAAGAACTTCTATGAAAAATTCCTTAAAAAACTTCAGAAGCCTTATGATAATCCAAACCGTTGGAAACCAAACATGGCATAACACATGCTGCTGGCACAGCCACCCCAGCATCAACCATGGAGCAGCAATGTAAGAGGAAGCATGCTGGCTGGCTCTGTAAAACATGCAGATCTTCAACACCATAAATTCACTTTCATCCTGCACAGGGGCATCAGAAAGAACAAGTGGCCATGATTGCTGCAGTCTTCAAGAGAAGTTATGTTCCACTTGAACTTGGGAGAAGCAGTCCTAAGTAGAGGTGCACAAAACAGTAGAATGGATACCCAGAAAAATTACTGCTGCACAGATGTGGAAACAGTATTTGTGAGTGACTAAACTGATCAAGCACGGTTTCTCCAGCAGTATGTCATGTGGCTCCAGCTCCCTTCATACCCCTCCAGCACAGCTACCCTAATTCCCTACTGTTATTCATGTCCTATTAATGATCCCACTGAGCAGGGGGTGAATGTCACCTGTATGTCCCCCAGCTACATGAAACATGGAACAAAGACAACTTGGTCTATACCTACCCACATTAATCCATCACCATGAAGGGCAGATCTGCATCATTCAGCCACTTCCACAAATTTGAGAAACATTTGTCAGGACTTCTATTCCATTTATATTGACATTAGCCAATGGGTTCAGAAGACACCTGGGTCAGTATAAGACAACATATGTAGGCTAATAGCATAAGCATGACTCTAATTTTGCTTCTCAGCTGTATACTGGATAGAAGGCTTTACATCACTAAGTGATAGAACAAAAATTTCCCAGTACAATAGATGGAGACACTCGCCTGTATGTCTACATTAAGAAAAAACACACTCATCTTCTCCCTCTGCTTTCAACTGGATTGTCACAGGAGACCCCAAAGTGGAATCATCCCAGGTTTGTCACTTATGCAGCAACTGGTTCCACAAGACTGCGGAATGGCAGCTATTTAGCTTCCCCTAGAGCTTTGCTTCTGATTTTGAAGCACAAAAAGTTCTCATAAAGCAGCAAAGGATGGAGTCAAGTCTTTCAGAAGTTACCTAGAGCAGAAGTGGCCAGTTCAAGACTCCTCCATTAGCACAGCACTAGACAGCTGAAAAAAATCCAGTCTAATATTCTCCAGAAAAATCAATGTGGATTTGGGTACTTCTGATACTAAATGATTTAGACATGTAAAAGCACAAGCACTAGAAGTATGAATACATACTAAAAATATGAACAAAAAACCATGCCACAAAAATATTGTAAGCAGTATGATGTATCTAATAGCATGGTCCTCATACTTGCTAATGAAACTTTAATAGAGTTTGCTGGCAAAAATATGAACTCTGGTTACATAGAAATATGCATTTCAGTTTGAACATGTATTTATTCTTCCAGATAGACATATTTACTCTAAACAGCAGAAAAAAAAGGAAGCAGAACACTCGTTTAAGTGACAGAAAACTAGTAGAAGATGCTAATATGACCTTAGTGTAGCATGTCAAGTGTCACTGCCACCAGCTTCCTAGTCATTTTAAGAACAATCTGCTAAGACAATTAATTACGTAGCTTAAAAGATTAGGTCAACAGTGTCAAATATGATAATATGAACTTGAAATTTAGCCTTTTAAAAATGTGTGCTGTCTATTTAAATGTCTACATGAATGTGTGAAAGAATAGTAAGTTTCAGACTTGATGAGTTACTTCAAGAGCAGCAATGCATTTACCTTCCTATAAAAGAAACCCAAACATAGTGATTAGAAAGGTTGACAGAATCCCCTCATTGAGAGAACAGATACTTGCAGCCTGCTGATCTAAGGGCTACTTTAGAAGAAAGCAGTAATTAGAAGTTGAGATTTAACGTACACAATTTTAGAGTAGTGGCAATCCTTAAATTGGTATTTTGAAAACTAAAATTGATTTAAACAAATAGTGCACTCTGCATTTTTCTTGAATAGTTAAAGTCAATCTAAACACATCCTCCTATAACACCTCTTATTATCATACCTTTTCCCCCCCCAGTCAGGTCTACAGCTAAGATTCATAGATAGGACACAGGCTTATTACTTAGCTTTTAATTCTGGTGCTCATGCTGAAGTGTCACCCTCCCCAGGCTCTGCTCTCAAACAGCCAAGTTTACCACAATTCAAGTCTCCTTGAAGGAGTTTCAGCCTGTCTTCCCTTCCTCAGAGCAAGGCAGATATCTGCTATCTGCCCAGTCAGTTGTGTGTTCAGTGGAACTCACACTTTAGCTACATTTAAGATTTGTGTCATGTGGAACAGATGATTAAGTCCTTGAAAGTCTTAGTTTTCAAAAGCTGTAGGATTTTTACAAATCCTAGAGAAAGAATAGTCAAGTTTACCAAGAATAATGCTTGAAACTTGTTTCATTCTTGTGACAGGTAAGCAGCCATTCAGACAACATAGCGGAACAAATAATCGGCACCAGAGAAAAGCTTTGCCTGGCAGCACTAGGGACCCAACTTTGGATGAGTTGTCTGACCACAGGCATTAGAGGTGTGCAGAATGAACTGCCAAGATGCTCGCAACCCTCCAAAAGCTGCAGAGAACACTGAAGTGGCTGGATACAATTAACTGCCTAGCTTTTAAGCAGCTCAAGTTCAGGGACAGCCATCTCCTTACAGTGATCCAGGGGAACACAAAAGCCACAAGTCAGGTGCCCCTGTAGCTCATCTCCATCAGTGGCTGATAACAGATGCCAGACAGCAATACGCCCAAAGCAAGTTTACCATACTGCTTTTCAAAACATTCTCTCAACTTCCAGCTACTCATAACTTCATGACCTCCTAAACCAGGGATAGAGCTGTGTGTTTAATAGCGATGATTACAATTTTTCTTGCCTGAATTTACCCATGAATTTATCCGTTGGTCATTTACAAGTTAAATGGCTGGAAATTGCTGGTCATATTTATAAATAAATTGATTTATTTGAAAACTACAATAGGGACAAAAACAAATAGCAAGATAGCAGTCTAAAGGACACTACACAATCAAAAGCAGGACCTAGAATAAGTAATTCATACTTCTCACAGCCACCCACACAGTGACCATAATTTTATCTATTTCCTACTACTATAGACCCTTTAAGCTACATATTAGTACCCAATAAACTGCATCCAGAGAAGAAGTGTTTATGGGCTAGAACCTCAGAAATAAGAATATGATTGTTTTTTCCTCACGCTTAAGCCTCTGCAAATGCTCAGAGCTTTTAAGTGAGATTCTTTCATGAATACATGTGTTTTGAATAACAGATACTCTCTTACAGCTCATGCAGCAAATAGTTTAGAGTTCAAGGCGGGGGGGAGTGTGTGTGGTTGGTTTTGGTTTTTTGTTTTGTTTTTTTTTTTTGTTTGTTTGTTTGTTTTGTTTTTTTTTGTTTGTTTGTTTGTTTGTTTTTTATCCATCTCAATTTGTAAAGCTTTCCTTGGGTATAGTCTGGTATATGCCAAAGCACCTCAACACACACCCCCTTTGGTGGCTCTGTTCACTTCCCTCTCTCATGCACTCAGAAAATTGAGTCCCAAAAATGGAAGGACTGGTTGAGACAGAAATCCACTGGCACATGCAGAGGTCAGACAAGAACAAGCAGAACATGAACAAAAAAATAACACTTATCTTTAGAAGATGCACAGTAACAGGGATCAGATGAAACTCATTGTTTATCTTTCAACAATCAAGAAGCAAGAATCTTTGCACAAGACACTGATGGGTAAGCCTGAAGCATTTTTTTTTTTGCCTTGTAAAAGTCAGTCTGATATCTGCCTCCACTAAGTTAAGTCTCACGTGTATGTTGCTGTCATGACATGCTGCTATTCACCAACACCTCACTTAAGGGCTTCTTTACTATGAGAAGTAAGAACCATGAGGTACAAGCAAGAGGCAACTTACAGCCAAAAGTTTTTTTTTTTTTTGACAGAAGTAGACTGCTTGACTTTTATGCCTGAAGCTCACATTCAGTTGGCCTTGCTCACATGTGTTTGGTTATAGATAAAATGCAGTTTAGTTGTAACTTATTTTCACTTGCTTCAGTCAAATCCATCTACTAAAATGCAAACGGTATCATTTCTGATACAGTTGAAAAAAATTCAAAAGTCCTTACCTAAACATAAGGACTTCAAAGTTACAGTAGGGAATGGATTTTTGGCTGAACCGGTAACAAGACTGAGAATTACAGATCTTCCAATACGTAGCAGATCTGTATTGAAGTTGGAAAGGCATGTCGAACATGGCTGCTGTGTCACATCTTCAATCTCTTTATTAAATATAAAGTGCTTCACCAAGAAGCACTTGTAACTGTGACACTAAGCTCTATAAAAAAAAAAAAAAAATCAAACTAGCAGTGTCAGCTTTTCAATATTGCTCAACTGACCATAATGAAGTCCAAAACAAGGAGTATACTTACTTGTAAGCTTGTTGTGACTCAGAACCAGCTGTGTGATATGAGACAATGTAACTGCAAATGAAGAGAGAAATAAGTTAGTTTATGGACATGACAAGTGAGAGCTTGTATCTATTTCAGCTAAAAGAGACCCACCCTATTCCCTCCACTCCAGTAATTCAACATTCACTTGCACTGTCACAAGGCAACAAACTCAAGACTGAAGGACATATCCAGCCACTCCTCTGTCCTTTCACTTCATAATTCTGTTACTGCTCCAAACATGACTTGAGCAGTAAGTACTGGTTCCTCCCAGCAGAAGCCTGGTTCTGGGCACACAAACACCTTTCATTTCCACACATTGAATCCTTCCCAAGACAAAACTGATAGGTACTCCAAAACTTATCCCAATAGAACATGTGCCACACAAGTACTTACATTTCCACATGTTCCCAATTCATTATCAAGACACACCTAGATTTAAGTCCTAAGTACCAATAGCTGCACTTACAACCTTGCATCCACGAAGCACAGCAGCAGACTAGCACTGTTGTTTTGTGGCAAATGGCCAGGTGACAACATACCATTCAAACATGTTCAAAATAACTGAATGATCTGATTGATCAAAGCCCCTCAGCTTCTACCTTAATGAACAAAGTGTAGGGCACAGGGCAGCTACAGAGACTGGCACTCCCCCTACACCTCTTCATCCTTTACATTTCTTCTTGCCTACTTCCACCCACCGCGCCACCATCGTGCTCCCTAGAAGATCCACAGCCCACAACTGACAACAGTATCTGATCATAAAGACATGCTAAATAGTCAGAGGAGAAACTTGCACCTTGAAGAGTTCTCAGACACCTTCCTCCTCCCTGTAAGAAGTTTACTGTATTTTATTTGAACTAGAAAAATTGAGAGATTTTCTTCCCTCACACCTTTTCCTTACTTCCAGTGTATCATCTTCAAAACAGCTCTAAAAACTACCTTGCTGCCCCTCCTAGGCAGCTGGAAACTTTCCTGCCAGAAGGACAGCTGTAGTGCTACATCTCTCATCCCTCAGAGCTTTCCTTAAGCAGCAAACATCACTAACATTAGTCCAGAGACAGCCCACAAGGGTCTTGATGCCTTAGGGAATGGAGGTATCCTGGTGAGCACGTGGGAAAACTGGTCACACTAATCAATACTTACTAAATTGCAAGTTGGAGGAAACAGCTTGGAGAGCTTTTACTTACTGATATAGCAACCTGTTCCAGCTGACCCTTGAAAGCTCATGACTTAAAGGCAAATATAACCCATTAGCAGAATTAAAACAGTCACTCAAAGCCAGAAACAGATCAGAAAGTTCAGTGTGTGGGGAAAAAAAAAAAAAAGCATCACCACAGTTCCCTGTGCAACTGCAGGTTGTGGAGGAAAGACAGGGAGGAGAAAGGAAGAAACAGCACACCCACCCTAAATGTCTCCTAAAATATCAACATTCTAAGTACTGCCTGCACCACCTCACAAAGCAGAACAGAACAGAGAAAGAAGCACATAGAAAGTCTGTAAGAGTACTGTAGAAAAACTGGCACTAAATGGCAGACGAGCAGCAGTCTCCACAAAGAGATCTAAGCTTTAGAACATAAAAGGCACATGAGCATCTGAACAAATGCCCAAGTACTCCTTACACATTTATTTCTCTTGGTTTATATATTTTAAATAGCTGTGGCAATCAGCACAAGTCAACATTTCATGTGCCCCTGATATCCAATTCTGACTAGTAAGAACACAGCCACCAGAAAGGTAGCCCTATTAGTTGCTGTCCTGAGATGAGAAGTGCTCTAGTCTGAGATCTCCAGCTCCAGGGCAACTTAATCTAAATCAGAGGCAGATACAAACTGACATCACCAATGCCAGGAAAAAAAACATCTTTTCCTGCATTTAACTTCAGAAACAAGTCATTCTAAAGCTCTAAGGCTTTGGCTAGACTCACCACCATCAACCAGAAATCAGTATTCCTCCACTGTATTTAAAGAGAAACAATGATTTTCCTACCAGGCAGTGGAGTTACCTACTCTTCCATAACCCATTTACTCCCACCCCACAAGGTAAATAATGAGCATCTTCTGCATTACAATTCAAACAGCGTATGTGTCTATCCACCTAATGTCCTCCCATCCAAGAGGGCCCTTTTCTCCTTCATAAGCCAATACCAGAAAGGTCCAATTAGTCAAGTAATAGCTGAAATATCAAGTAATAGCTGAAATATTGAGTAAAGCTTGAAATGTTCAAATAAATCCTGGTTATCAAAAAGGCAGGAAAAAGCACACAACATGTACAGAAGACTCCCACCAGCTTTGTACTTTCAGTCTCTCTTACAGTGGCAATGATGAAGACAAGCTACGTCACTGTACCTTCAGAAATCACCACACCTGCATGTCAGGCAGTGTTGCATGTCAAGGACACTGAAAAGTGTCTTTATAGGCTCAAAGTGTGGAGTGTTAACAAGAACTGGGCTCTGGCTGCTGGCACCAGAACCAGGAAATGGCATTCCAGCTTTGTTCTTGAAGATTTTGGGTACAGGAACATTTAAGAATTTCACTTTTGCCCTTCCCATGACAGTAATATCGGAAAGTAAATATTTTGTTTAATCTTTTTCAGAAAAATCCATTATTGTTTTTTGATGCTGTACAAAGTTTCTTCCACCTCACTTTGAGAGTTGATTTTAAAGCAGAGAAGTTGAACAAAAGTGGCAGAACAAGACCAAGTAGCCTCCCCTCTCACGTCCATGCTAACAAGTCAGCATCTCACCACGAGCATGACGGACAATTGGACTCCTAACCGGGAGGACCCCTGCATGGCTGCTGCCAGGCAAAGGGCTGCAACACCCACGCTGAACTGCAAGTGATGGAAAGTCCAGCTGTGTGGCCAGCCACAGAGTAAGTTCTCGTAGAACTTCTGCACTACTTCTTTTTTCTTTTGAAGTTGATACTTCCTTTGGTTTATTAAAGCAGCACAAAGACTGAAGCTGTCACCACACTTGTGTAGCCTTGAGCAGTCCATTCCAGTTTTGAATAGAGCTTTGCCAGCTTCAGGACAGAATTCAATATTCAGATAATCTGTTCTTTACTTGGTTGGAGTCCATAATGAACTTCATTACATTAAAACAAGCAATTCCCATTACGTGCCTTTTAATAAGCAGCTAGACCAGATTGAGAAATGACACGAGGAAAGGCTCAAATTTAGTTCATACATCCATCAATATGATAGGCCTTTCTGAACTCTTTTCTGCCTATGAACCACCTGACTTCTATGAAAGATTATTTGTTAACACCAAGGCTAGACATGTCCAAAGTTATAAAAATAAAACAAACTCTTTAAGGTAGTGATAAGGAAGTGGTCCTGATCTGCTCCCCTCCCCCCATGCGCCACTAAGTGCAACACCCATTTAAAGCACACAAATCAGAACCACAACTCAAACAGACTGAAAGAAGTGCTTAGGAATTTGTTTCTGTGCTCAAGATGTAATTCAATATTTAAAAGAGAAAACATACCAAATAATATTTAACTCCTGCAAGAAGTCAGCTAATGAGGAGACAACCCTTGCACGTGACTTACACTACGTATGTACAAAGTTACTGAACTGCACTAACTGCTAGACAACAGCATACATGCAATACCTGCTCTGGATCACTTACAAACTGAAATCAGAAACAAATGAGAAGAAAATAAAGTGTTTTAATAATAGAAAACTGAGACAGACTGATTTCATCCATGTGTGAACCTTTCCTGCCATGATTTCATCACTTCTACACATAGGAAGTGAGGACACTTACTCAAGGGGAATTAAGCTTTGGGGCTACAGACATGGGTCTTCTGAACATCAAACTCCTGATTAATTTAAATATCATAAAAAGCTCTGTGCATTTATTTTTTTAAAGGTAAGCCTGTTGAATAAACCATCAAGCCATGTGTACTGCTGGCCTTTAACAACACAAGCTTACAAGCATTATTCTCACTACTCCCTCTCCATGTTTGTTACATCACTGTCATCTTCAACTGAGTATTTTCAGAAGGGTTTCTTCTCACATGTCTATACAGAACAGAACAAAGTCCCAACATCAAGAATTTCAAGGCCAAAATCCCTAGATCAAAGACATTACAATCTGGACTTTACTGGCCAAATCCGACTGAAGCCTAGACACCTTGTCTGAAACTCTACTATCTCGGTCAATCCTGATGCATGACAAAGAATCCCATTGCATCTTTGACCCACAAAGCAGGCTAAGATCTTCCAAAGCAACAAAAAAGGCAACATTCCAGTATTCTTTTGAAAAGAACAAAGGTTTAGGCATCTGTGTTCTGGACTACTTCCAGCAGCATTTTAGCCATATCTAAACAATAAGATTTTCAATCTTGAAAGGTCCAAAGCTACTATCAGTTCAGAGCCAGATTTGCAAGCATTTTAAGAAAGGGAGCCGAAATATAGAGTGGCATTTGGTCACTCCTTACAAGGCAGGGAATTTGCTCACTTTAACTGACCTGGGTGTAACAACCAGCCTCTGGAAATACCAAGTTTTTCAGTATGCTGCCACTCACCTACTCCCGTGAAAAGGGCTGTGCTGTGGGAACAGCTGACTGTGGGTTTCCTCATCCTATATATAAAGTCAGTTCCGCATGACAACTGAACTATCAGCTCTTCTCATAAAGACATCCATCTTAAGCAACTAATTAACTTCCCAGAGTAACATCTAGAAGGCTGAAGGGGGCCTGGTGGGGCCATTTTGCTTCAGATGCACACAGCTCAGGTAAGCACAACAAGCAGGACTCGCCAAGGATCACTCAACAGGTCAGACAATTCACCCCCTGTGCCGGTTCCCTGAGATTCAAGGGCACTGTGATTCCCATGGGGGAATTACTATAACCTCTCTCTGATGCCACCAGAGGAGCTCCTAGGCACTAAGCAGCAGCTCCCTGAGGACTGCAGACCTCAGATGCCTTGTTAACATTACAATAATTAGGTGGCAAGTTATTTTGATTTCAAGAATGCACCAAATATCCACACAGAAATTTGAGGGCCACGATACTACCGTTTGCCAGAGCAATTTACTTCCCAAGTAATTATTAATTCTCATTATGGCCCCGGTCCCACTATTGCTTCAAAACAGCGGGTCAAGGGAAGAATATTTAAGCTCTTTCCTTTTGGCCTCAGTATCAAGCCTTTTCATATACTGCTGCCATGCACTGCAAGTTAGCTTTACATACAATATTTAGATGCCAAGACTTGACTGTTTTTTTTAAAGAAAAAACAGAAACCACAAAAAAAAAAAAAAAAAAAACAAAAACAAAAACCACCACAAAACCCCCAAACAAACAAAAAACCCAGGAAGACTCCAGAGACCTTGCTGAACCAAGATAAGACATTGTCTCTCACTGGAGGAAGTTAATGCAGGATGAGCATTACAGTATCATACAAACTTACAAGTAGCTATCTTATGTGCTTTGGTTATTTTAGGAGCAAACAATTATATCAACAGTAACTTTCTGATAAATAATTCTAGTCATGTTAATTCCTACCACCCAAGCATGTACTTTATGTAAAATATGAATAGCTTACAGATGGAATGATAACAAGAGCAAATTAACACTTACAGAGTAAATAGGATTTCATCCAATATTCCTTCCCTGACAGCAAAACTATAGAGCAGCAGATGTCTCAAGTTATTTGGGCAAAATAATTCTTTAATTCATAGCTTCCCCATATTGATCACAAAGATACATTAGAGACTGGTCCCTACTCCAAGAACAATTCTGTAACTGTTGATGGCTGTTTAAAGTCCTACCACCAAATGCCCTAAGCATCAGGCTAGGGAAAAGGCACACCATGCCCTACTTGCTGAAACCAATCATTCACCCTACAAAGACATCTATTAAGCCTCTCTACCATTACATGTCCATAGTGGGGGCTTTGTAAACAAATATGATCTATTTATTCCACAACATAGAATTAAAAAAACACATTAGAACACTTCCACAGAGTGAGACATTTTTAAAAACTATTCATAGATGGATGCACAACTATAGTATAGATGTGCTCACAAATGGTATAACATTTGTTTTATCCCATGTCAGAATAATCAGAGAAGCTTTTAAAGTCTGAAACTGTTCCACATGGTCTTTGCATTACTATGATGAGCTAAAGCACAGAACATTTAGATCAAGGGATATTTTTAGTCTCAAATGAAACCTCTTTTCTACAGAACATATTTGAAAAGTTCTCATATTACATTCCTGAAAGCCTCCAAAATTCAGATCTGAAGGCCTGTGGCACAGTTCCAGTTTGTACTTTACGTCATTAGGAGAAAGCACAGAAATGCCTGGATTCAAGGAACATTCCAAAAATAGAACTCCACTTCTAATGACATTAATGAACTCCTGAGCAAACAGTAGTTCAGGAACTACTGAGCTTTTCCTTCTGAATCTGAACAGCACATTACAAACAAGCTGATAGCTCCACCCTTCCTTTACTAAACACAAAAGTGGGAAGAGATGTAGAGGTTGCCAAGCTTCTAGGTCTAAACTAGTTTAAAACAGTTTTAGATACCAAGTGTGAATCTCCATCCAGATCAGAAAAGTATTTCATCTTGATTTTGAAAGAGACATTGGTATTTGACAGAGGCAAGTTTGGTCTGTTTTGTTTCTTCCACAATTGCTACAGAGGGTAGAAGTCAAGGCAAAAAGACAAGACAAGCAGCTGCCCTGTATTGTAGCAAGTCATTCACTAGACTAGAAAGGGAAGCCAGAAAAGATCCCTATCCAAGCCAGGGCATATATTCCCCTTCCTCTTTTCTCCTCTCTGCTCCCACATAATACCAGTTTTCTATGATCACTTATGATTTTTTTTCTTTAACACACATGACAAGAATAGGTCCGCACCTGAAGGAAGAGGATTGCCACACTGAGCAGATGCTACACAGGGCACTGCTTCCAAATCCTGGTGTCTCCATTAACTCTATGTGAATTAAGTTAAGAAAGCTTAAATACAAGTCCACTAGTCACTCTGCAGCAAGTACTCAAACATGCAGTGGAACAAGCATAGTCCTTTTCTTGAAAAATACCCAAGACTATAGGGAGCATCTTATGTTAACAGCTACTGGACACTGAGGGATGAGCATTCACAGCCATTAATTACATGAGACAAAATCCTTATCATGGGCTATTGAACAGAGTAACTTAGGAGTAGCATCCAACCGAGTAAGTCCTTAAATCTCAAAAGGTTTAAGGAAACACGAGGGAAAACACCACCAAAATATTCCCTCCAATCATAACCCAAATTTACCCTTATCTCTGAACATCTACTAGTGACCCTCATTAAAGACAAGCTGCTGTGAAAGAATAGTCACTGGGCACAAATCATGATAGCCTTTTTAACAAAAATTTTTATTTCATGAAAAAAAAACCCAAAGTTTCTGAAAAAGTAAGCTTTAACACTGCAGTACATTGGAAAGATATCCAACACACCTAGAAGGAAAGCATGAGGTCAGACTTGTTCAGCTGCCCTGCCAGTTCTGAGAGCCAGAGAAACCCAAAACACCCAATCTATACCAGAAAAGATCATCTATTAGGAGTCAAATGACAACATTAGAAAACAAGCACGTTTAACATTTTCTCAAATCATTATCTAAAATTCAGAGGTAATACCTATTCATTACTTTTTTTAAAGGAATATTTGGAAGAAGTTATTACTTCTCCAGATGGAAAGTGGCACATACCTTGACAATAAAAAAAAAAAATCAAAACAAAAAACCCAACTTATCATGCCTTCTCTGCCAGAATGCAGAGTAACTAAAAAAGCAGGGAGGTCTCAATTAACTCAACAGAAACCAGACATCACTTCTCCCTCCCCTAACTTCCATCTCAAATTGGATAAAGCCCCTAAATCAAGTCACACCACATGCACCAAGGATATCTGCAAACATGCTTCTCTGATGCAGTGTAACTAAGGTACAAGTCTACACTTTGTGTAAGGAAGGAACTCCCTCCTAATTTTCATATGCTTAATTAGCAGCTGGGTATCATGGACCACCTGTGGACCCCAGGGTCCCACACTGCAGGTTCCTGACTCTGCACAACAAACCCAAAATAGTCTCTGTACAAAATTATGTGCTTTTCAACACCACCTTTTTTTCCCCCACCTGAAAGATCAAAGTTGGCTAATTATGTGTTGATAATGGGCACCAAGTCTACTTAACAAAAGCAAGAGTACTCTGTTGCTGCCTCATACTCTTAATGCATTAGTTTAACTGAAAGGGATAAGTATAGCTCTGAAAATGGGTCTGTAGTTAATGCAAGCTAAACACTATTTTGTCTCAAACAACGGTTTATCCAACAGAAGTAAGGAATACAATGAAGCTTTCTGTTTAACATGAGTTCATATATACAGGCTTTACGACTTAATGTTCCTGAAATCCCATGCACAGCTCTGAAGCAGGAAAAGAATCAGTAAAGGATGAAGTACAGAGTTCTGCAAAACTGTACTTAAGACTTCATCCTTTACTGATGTAACTGAAAACACTTTGGTGTGCTCCTAACTCTGCAGACAGTGAGAAATTGGTAGTAAGCCATACATTTCCCTGAACTCATTTCCATTGTGTAAGAAGAGTTACATGCACTTGCTCCTGTTTGCTAGCAAATTTAACAAACATAATGAAGAGCTAAAGCAGGATACAGTTAAGAGTTAAGTATGTTGGTTGTTTTAGATTTTGCTTTTTTCTCATTACATCATGCATTCAGAAAAATTTCAGTCTGTGGCACACTACAGTCAGTCATAACTTTAACTCACTGTGTATCAGCTGTACCATAACATTACATGCACTCTTAGCCAAAGCAAAAGCAAGGCAAAGCCACCTACCCTGCTCTTCACTTATGTGTTCTCCAGAACTACGAGAGTATGCTGTTACTGGTATGTTGCAGTTCCTGTAGTTAATTTACAGCAAATACAACATACCAACAATAACACAGTGTCACAATTCTGGAAGCACATGCAATCATGTAAAATACAAAGGATGATATTGCTGTATCTGTAATACATCATTACCGTACCATCCTTCAGAGACCAGCTGTAGGTAGCTCCAAGCTAACATCACCCTATCCCTTTCAAAAACCTGTGAAGATGCTACTTGGCTGGTGGTTTTGCTTCAGTAGCAGGGAGAGGCAAGGACAGACAAGAAGCAAAGTCTTCCCACCACTCAAGTGCCAGAATGACAGCAGTGAGAGACAGGGAAATCTTAGGGCTACAGATGGTGCAGGGGAAGAGGTGATGGGAAAGACGGGAGTCCCAGCTCCCCACACTGGTCGCCGTGCTGCGGTGGAGCAGGGGCTCTCCGGAACACACTCAGGGCTCGTTATGGCGCTGTTGGGAGCTGGAAGCAGAGTGTTTCCCAATGGCCACGAATCCCTCCCCAAGCCCTCGATGCCTGAAGCTTCAGGACCCCTGCGGCACAGAAGAGGCCCGGATAGCCCCGTCATCCCCAAGGGTCTGGGCAGCAGCCGGGAGCGGGGCGGCCCTGCCCACCCCACGCCCAGGGCCGGCTGCGGCCCCGGCCCGGCCCGGGACAAATAAGGAAGTTTCCGCGCTCTCCCCGCCCGCCGTCGCCGCTACCTACAGAGACCAGGCACGTCCAGCATGTTGGAGATGCCGCGGTCGCACATGTCCACCTCGGGCTGGTTTTTCTCCCTGCTCTCCTCCACGATCTTCTTCAGCGACTTGGACATGGTCTGGGAGGGGCAAAAACGGACACCGTGAGCGGGAGGGGAGGGGTGGGTGTGTGTGGAGCCGGCCGGGGGCACCTGCCGAGACAGCAAGGGGACGGCTCCGGCGCTGAGGGGCCCGAGGGCGGCGAGCTCGTCCTCTCCGCCCCACGCCGCCGGTGTCCCGCCGTCCCGTCCCCCCGCGCCCGCCCCACGCCAGCAGAGCTTTAATTGGGATACCATCCGGCCGCCCTCCCGCCCCCGAGCGGCGGGACTAGCCCGCCGCTACCCCCAGGGCGACTCACGGCGCGGTGCTGCAGCGGGACAGAGCCGGTACGGCGGCGCTGGGCGGCTCCCAGCGGCTGCACGCGCCGGCCACACCCCAACCCACGGCCTCCCCCCCGGCCCTAGCGCGCATGCGCACTGCGGCCCTGCCCGGGCGAGCGGAGGCGAACCCCGCGCCTTTTAAGGCCGGCCGCCCGCCCAAGCGGTTCCACCTACAGCGGGGAAGGTGCTGGGCCAATCAGGGCGCATCGTGGGATCAGACCCGCTGCCATTGGCCAGACGCGTTGGAGGAAGGTTCACTGGCCAATAAGCGCGCCCCACAGCTGGTGGCGGGCTTTAGGACGCAAGAAACCGGGGTACAGCTTGCGCAACCGGGGTTTAGGCGCATGCGCAGCGCGAGGAGCTTGTGGCCGAGGCTCTCAAAGCATCGCCATCAAATCACTGCCCTCACAGCCCTGCCCTTAAAGCACCGCCCTCAGAGGGCTGCCCTTACACTCCTGCTCTCAGAGAGCACCGTAATCACAGCTGTGCCTTCATAGCTCCGGCTCAGAGCGGCGCCCTCACAGCTGTGCCCCCATAGCTTTGCTCTCGGAGCACCGCCCTCGGAGCTATTCCTCATAGCTCTGCTCTCAGCGCCGCGCACTCAAGGTGGCGACGTCTGAGCGCAGCCCTAAGTGTACTGCGCTCAGATGCCTGCCCTGAGAGGGCCGCACTCACAGCGATCCCACCATAGCTCTGCCCGTGTAGAGCCGCCCTCAGAGGTGTGCCGTTAGAGCGTTGCCCTGTGGTCGCCCGCAGAGAGCCACCCTCAGAGCCCCGCCCTAAAAGCGCTCCCCTCAGAGGACCGCACTCACAGCTGTGCCCTCATACTTCTGCTCTCAGAGCGCCGCCCTCAGAGGTGCGCTGTCAGAGCCCTGCTCACAGTCCTCACAGCGGCAAAATCAGAGTGCTGCCCTCAGGTGCCGCCCTCACATCACCACCCTAACAGCTCTACCCAGAGCACCGCCCTCAGAGGACTGAAGCGCGGAAACGAACTTTACAACTCACAAAGAGTTGTAAAGCAGATATGTTTATTGCAGTGCTGGGTGCAAGGGAGATCGGTCCTCCTAGCTTGCACCCCAACAGCACATTTTGCCAGAAATTTATGCAGTGCAGGTGTACATATTCATGGTATTACACAGCACACACATACATATGCATAAGCGAGGTGGGGTTAGTTTGCGCAGACTCAGATCTGTGTCTGGTGGTTGTTTAATTCTTCAGGGGTCTTATATTCCTCTTCTGTCCTGTAGATGAACTTTAGCCGTTCACACATGCTCTATTTGTACTTGGTGATCTCAGCAGCCTTTTAACCAGTTTTACGGTCAATCTGACACTGTCATTCTTGTTATCTCCCCCTGTGTCTAACACACAGTCCTTGACGAATACTAGTCCCTGATAAGTTTAGGCACCAGTCTCTAATAAACAAGTTTCAAAAGAGCATTCAAGGCGTCAAAATAACATTCAAGGTAAACAGGATTGTTAAGAAATTGAAAAGCAGTTAGTTCCCTGTATCAGGACCGCGCTTACAGCTATGCCCTCATAGCTCTGCTCTCAGCGCCGCCGTTACACCCCCGCACTCAGAGCGCCGCGCTCAGAGGTGTGCCGTCAGAGCCCTGCTCCCGCAGCCCTGCCCTCAGAGCGCCGACGTCAGAGCTGTGCTCACATACCTAAGCCCTCAGAGACCTGCACTGAGAGCTGCCTGCAGAAAGCCACCCTCAGAGCGGCGACATCAGGGCGCTGCCCTCAACCGCCTTCAGAGTCCTGCCCGAAGAGCACCGCCCTCAGCGCTCCCCTCAGAGGAGCGCATTCACAGCAGTGCCCTGTTGGAGAAATGCTCAGAGACAAGCGTCATGAGTCCACTGAGCAGTTGTACGATCAGAGCCTGTTCTAGGGGCTGATGCTGGGCCTCGCTGATGGTGGGCCTCACTAGGGTTTGCCTGCAGCTGCTCGCAGCTGCTGATACATGAAGAATGTCAAGGACGCTTCAGCCTTGTGTACCGTGGTGTGTCGAAAACAGGTTAAGAGGAATTAGAAATAGTGGCCTGAGAAACAGTGTTATGGTAACGGTGGCCTGAGAAACCTAGTGTTATGGTAACGTTGGCCTGAGAAACTTTGTGTTATGGTACCGTTGTGTATCGAAAACAAGTTAAGAGGAATTAGAAATAGTGGCATGAGAAACTTAGTGTTATGAGAAGCTTGTGCTGTTAACTAACTGCAAGTAGGTGGACCGTGCGAATACGACCTTTAGAGCTTAAGCCAATCAGCTAGTGACTAGTAGGCATAATAATTAGCGTTGTCTGTGTAAATATATGTACCCTGGACCAATCAAGATGATATGATGCTCTATCACCCACATTGAGTCCGTCTCGGCGTGTCGTTTCTCCGCCACTCCACAGTGCCCTAATAGCTCTACCCTCAGAGCACCGACCTTAAACCCCTGCTCTCAAGAGCCCTGACCTGAGAGCGGCGCCTTCAGAGCGATCCCCTAAGAGCGCCGCTCTCAGAGCCCTGCCCTCGGTGTGTCGCTCTTACACCCCCGTCCTCAGAGCGGCGAAATCAGAGCACCGCCCTCACAGCTGTAGCCTCAGAGCCCTGCCCTCCGAGCACCGCCATCAGAGCGACGCCCTCACACCCCTGCCCGCAGAGCGGCGACATGAGCGTCGCCCCTCAGAGCGCCGCACTCACAGCTGTGCCCTCATATCTCTGCCCTCAGAGCGCCGCCCTTACACCCCTGCTCCCAGAGCGGTACCCTAAGAGCGCCGCTCCCAGAGATCCGTCCTCAGAGCTCAGCCTTCAGAGCACCGCCCACAGAGCCTTGACCTCATAGCACCAATCTCACAGCCGCGCCCTCGGAGCGAGCGCCGCCTTTACAATCCCTTCTCTCACAGCCCTGCCTTCAGAGCTCTGCTCTCAGAGCTCTGCCTTCAGTGTGCTACCCACAGCTCACCACCCTCAGAGCGCCGCCCTCACGACCCTGCCTTCAGAGCGCCGCGGCCGCCGAAGGCGGTGGCGTCGGTGCTGCCGTGCCCGGGAGCGCCGTCCCGCCGCTGGGCTGGCTCCCGGTGAGCGCGGCACTGGGCAGCCGCGTGCTACGGCCAGGCTCCAGAAGTAGGCAGCCCGGTTAGCGGAGCGCAGCCCTGTGAGGCCGGCTGCCGTGTGGTGTCTGCCATTCTGTCAGGCACCAGGGACGGGCTGGTTGCAGGAGCTGGCAACTTACGTTAGTGCTGCAGCTCCGGTGGTAGCCTGTTTCTCATCAGGCTCACCGGGATGCTTGTACATGCGGGGGAACTTGGGTTAAAGTGATGTCTGAGTTTGCTGTGGCCTCTCCTGTTACAAGCCTTGTATGGTTGGTTGTACAGGTGTCTTTTCAAAACAGTGTTAATGCCCATTTCCAGTTCTTCAGGACTTTGAAACACTTTACAAGCATGAACCCAAGAAAATGGGTTGTGGTGAATATGGCAACATTTTGCCTAGAAGAGAAATGCGCGCTGGAGCGCTGTTAGCAGTAGCGGCTCCTTGTGCCCTGGTGCCCTGGCAGGGGGCTGGAAGCTGGCAGGGCTGCACTCGGGGCAGTGGGGCAGCTCTGTGCCCCAGCTAGTCAGCAACAGAAGGGAGAAGGTGCAGAGCTGTGGAACTGGGAAGCTCAGGCTCCCTAGGAACTGACCAAGCAGAGTTTCAAAGCACTCTGAAGTCTGGCAAAGACTACCTAAGGTGAAAGACACAAATGCAAAAATAACATTGGGTAAACTGAATCACTGGTTTCCATTTCTTCAGGTGTCTTTGTGGATTTTCTAGTTGGCTCTAGTTGCGGAACTAGTCGCAAAGCTGGGCCCAGGTCCTGAGCACTTTTAGCTGACCTTGTGAGCATGATGTTGGAGTAAACAGCCTTACTGCTTAGAATGTATTTATGCTTGTAACATCTTTGATAGGAGCTAAGAAGCTTCTACTTACTGTCACTCAGCAGATACGGAAGCTCAGAGCAATAAATAACTAAATCTATAAAATGACCTAAGGCTGGGCCACCCATTGAGAATCACAGCAGTGAATTTTGCATATGTGTTCCCTGTGCACTATATGATGTTTCTTAGAAGCCTATAAATAATATCCACAGAAACCAAGATGATAAATGGGAAGGCTCCTAAACCAGCGAATGAGAAACACTGCTGGAGGTGCAATTTTAGCTTTTCCTTTTTTAGGAATGTAAGGATTTAATTCTGGGTTGCAGAATTGTAGCATGTTTATCTCTAAATGGCATTTACTACCTTGAGTCCTTCCTGAAGTTACAGAATGCTTTCAGGTCTTTCTTATAAAATACAACTGGAAGAACTTCCTTTAATCCAGATTGCTCAGCAGAACACATGGTCACTCAGATGTACAAGACAATTATGTACAGTTCCTTTTTGTCTGCAGGAACATGAATCTGGATCACTTTCTTGTCCTAGAAAATGCCTGGATTGCTACCAGTTAGCTGTCTCGAAGACCTTGGTTGTTGTTTCATGGAGAATGACTACAGGTTTTGTTTAGTAGCAAAGGTTTAGGCAGATTTATTGTCTCTAAAATACGGTCTTATCTTGCTTATTCCAGCTAACACATAACGCACATGTGACTGTGACAAGATACTCACAAAATAGTGTCCTTATGGCTAATGAGAAGCTCACCTGGCTTCTCACTGCCCCATTTATACAGTGGTGAAAACATCAGCATATTACATTGCATGTGGCCTGGATGTCCACATTCTACCCCTACCATAGAAGTATTTAATTACTCCTTGTTTAATAAATATTGCCCTTACTGCCTTTTGTTGGGACTGTGCATTTTTTTGCCATCCACCTCATTTCCTTATCCTCTTGTGTAAATAGTTCATCTATCACTCGCCCCTTCTATGTGAACTATATTGGTTCCTGTTTAGCAAAACTTTCATCCGAGTAAATGCGCTAATCAATATCCTAGTCAGGTCTGCACTGGATTTGGTGAAGAGGAGTTGCTGTCAAGCCTTCCTTTTAAAGCCTCTCAGCTCCTCGTGAAGCACTGAATATCAATTGGATGAGAAGGAGTGGGAAACCCATGCCACACTGTCCAACGGTCAGG